GAGTAGTGGGCTTAGTATGCAGCCCTGTCTGACCCCTTTACCCACTCTAAATGGGTTGGTTAGTTCTCCATCTACTCTGACATAGGCTGTATTGTTGTCGTATAACTTTTGAATTAACGATATTAGATGGCCAGGTGTGCCCATTTCATTTAGAATCGTCCATAAGTTTTGCCATCGTACACAATCGAAAGCTTTAGATTAATCTATGAAGCATAAGTAGGTAGGCACATTGAATTCTCTTGATTTTTCAATTATTTGTCGAAGGTTTAGTATCTGCTCTCTAGTTCCGCGTCCCGGGACAAAGCCGGCTTGCTCTGGTGGTAGTTGTGGAAGTAGGAAAGGCTTTATACGTTCTGATATTATGTGTAACATGACCTTGCTAGCGTGTGAGATTAGAGCTATTGTCCTATAATTATCGCAGATGTCCTTCGGTCCCTTCTTGTGTATTGGCACATAGACCGATTTCGTCCAATCATCGGGCCAAGTATCGGTGTCCCATATCATTTGACAGATCCTATGAAACAATTCCACTCCTGTTTCCTCAAGTGCAGTTAGCATTTCAGCAACAATGCCGTCCTCTCCAGGCGACTTGTTGGACTTCAGCTTGGTAATTGCTGTCCTTACTTCTTCTTTCAGTATGGGAGGTTCTTTTCCATTGTATGTGCTTTTTTCTGTGTCATTGTTTGAGTTTCCAGTGTCTTCCATTAATTTTTCGCAGTAGTCCTTCCATCTTTCCTTTATCTCTGCTTTGTCTGTTATTAATTTACCAGCTTCGGATCTTATCGCCCAGGATTTTGAGTTGAACGTGCGTGTAATGTGCTTGATTTTGTTAAACAGGTCTTTTGATTCGTTGTTGTGCGAATGTTGCTCAGCTTCGGCGCATATATCGTTTAGGTACTTGTTTTTGTCTTTTCTACACTCTTGTTTGATATCTTGGTTGAGCCTGCTATATTGTTCTCTATCTTCATGTCTGTGTAAGCCCGTGGCCTTGAGTTGTTTCAGCGATTCAATCTTCTTCCAGGTTTCTTCTGCAATCCATGCTTTCCTCTTCTGTTTCACAGAAGCTTCAGTTTGTGATGCCACTTTTAGCAGTGCAGTTTTTGTTTTGTTCCACAATGAGTTAGAGTCATCGTCTGATTGCGTATGTGAATTTATTTTGGAGATTTCTGCTTTAGCCTTTGATCTGAAATTTTCGTTATGTTTAAGGCCCGACCAATTCCTAAAGGTTTTATTAGGCTGCGATCTGCTTAATTTTATGCGGAGCTCTGCTGCGAGAAACTGATGGTCACTGTGACAGTCCTTTCCTGGGTAAGTCCTGGTATTCCTTACTGAAGTCCTCCATCTGGATTTTACTAGGATGTAGTCTATCTGGTTTTTATGTAGGCCTCCAGGTGAGGTCCAGGTGTATAGTCGTCTTGGATGATGTTCGTACCCCGTGTTTGTGATGAAAAAGTTGTTCTCAGTGCAGAATTGCAGCAGTCTTTCTCCTCTAACATTTCTTTTTCCCAGAACGTATTTGCCGATAATTTTGTTTAGATGTTCATCTCCAGTTTCTCTTCCAACTTTGGCATTATAGTCGCCTATTAGCATCGTGATTTCTCGATTTGGTAGAGTCTCTAGTAGCTGTTCTAATTGGGCGTAGCATTCTTCTACCTCATCATCTGGTGCTTCGCTGGTTGGAAAATACACTTGTACAATATTCAGCTTCACAGGACGCGCGTTAAATCTGATCAAGATGATTCTATCATTGATTGCTCTGTATTCTGTTATGGAGTTTTCAAGTGTCCTGTTTATTACTATGGCCACGCCGTTTCTAGATGTGTCCTCGTTGCCTGAATAAAAAACGATGTTATTGTTTCTGGATATGAAGTGTCCTGAGCCCTTCCAATGCGTTTCTGCTAAGCCCACTATGCTATGACTGCTTATTTCTTTCTCTACTATGGCGAACTTTCCGGCTTCTAGCAGTCCGCGAACGTTCCAGGTGGCTATCTTTAAACTTTTCCATATGTTCATTCCAGTAGCCCGTTTTCCATGTGATGCCTGGTTTCCTACACGCACATGGCCAGTCGCCCATTTCACACCACTAGGCCCGGTCCCTGAGTGGCGCCAATTGCTAGTTGGATCGCTCGGCAATACACATCCCGTAATACTCATCAAATCATCAATATCATGAATTTTCCTGGGGGGATATATGACGCAGTGGGGCCCCTGGTCCTTCTGCGTGGTCCTGAGACATATTGTAAATACTGTAAAATTAACATTTAATATACATATCTACCACAGAGATGAGTCGTCGTGTGTTTGATGTGCCATATCCATTTTTTACCAAATGTTAGCAATCATGTTGGCTATCAATACTTTATTTCACAAATACATACACATTTCAAAAGCTGCAAATATTTTTAAGGTAGTCTCTGTGACAGTCCAAGATTCTACTCCATACAACAGAATTGAGAACACGTAAAATTGGACCCTTGTCGTTCTGAGCTCAATTTTCAGTTCTTGTCCGCACACCATTTTCCTCATACGTATGAACTCTTGCTTGTTCAATTTTAGATTTTTTTCCAGTCCTCGCTTAATAATTGTCCCAGACTCTTTCAAGTTTACTTTGACCAATCCACAGTTTTGCATGTATATTCGATTCTTTTTGATGTTAAGTTTAATACCGTAAGGGTTGCATGAAACTACTAAACATGATGTAGCAGTTTTTGAAGTCCTTTAATATTATTTGCCAGTAGAACGGAATCATCCGCATATCTTGAGTTGTTTATTATTATCACATTTATTTTTATTCCTTCTTCGATATTTTCTAAAGCTTCTTGGAATATTGTCTCCCAGTATAGATTGAAAAGCAATGGTGACAGAATGCAACCATGTCTTACCCCTCTTTTAATTGAGATGCTTTCAGTCATATTCTTTCCTATTTTCACATTTGCCTTTTGATGCCAATAGAGTTTGGCAATGATTCTCAAGTTATTGTCAATTTTAAGACATGATCGGGATAAACGTCGACTTCAACCGGTCAGATGGTATATCTGGTTTATCATCGTATATTCAATTAAACAACTTAACTAATAATGCATTTGCTTTTTGCCAGAATATTTTTAGTATCCCAGGTCGGATTTCATCTGGTCCTGTTGCTCTCTTTGTTAATTTAATGGTTCTCTCTATTTCATCTTTGGTAATTGGTGGTCCAGTTTATATGTTATGTATGTACGCCATGATCCGGGTTTCGCTCATCTTCAAGCAACTTTGTTATAACATTAAAATCTGTCGTATGTATGATTGCTGGTGTGCTAAAGAAAGTCTTAAAAATAGCTGGGGAAGATCATTTATGATCTGTGTGCTTCTGTACATCTTCTCTGTTTTATATTATGTTTCTTTACGTATACAACTAACGAATAAATATATAACGATGTTAACGGTAAAATTTCCAACTCTTTGAAATATTTTCTACAAGACACTGTTCTTTTGATACCCGGCATACATCTAACTGCTTCTTTTTTGTATAATAAATATATCATTGATGCAGCTCGCTTGCCCCCGGTACACAAGTCCGTAAGACACGACACACTGGAACAAACCAATAAACATCAATTTAAGAATCTCTATAGAAACGGTATCTTTGACATTTTTAAGTAAGAAAATTTTTCCACATAATTATTTAAACGCCAGTTGTAACAAAATTGAAAAACTTTACCAAACTGACATTGTAAAGAAAGTGGTCTATAGGGGTATACGAGCTCAAAAATATCTTGTTTTTAAAAAACATTCGGCACATTGGTTAGTGGTTATTTCTCAATCGTCATTTAAATTGAATCCAATATTTATTTTGATATAATGCACATGCGTCCAACTAAAAACAGTGGACAATGGAATTGTCAAGTTCCCGTACCTTTAAATTTACAAAATATTATGGTTGCTTTAGTTAAACCTCTACATTTTTTTTTTCGCAGTGTTGACTTAACATCATATTATAATGTCGTTTGAATCTGGATTAACTGTTAAACGAATTAACGAAATTATCAAAACATGTTACAAACCAGATTTTATTAACTTAAGTTTTCATTTCTAATTTTGTAATTTTTTTTTTATTATATTTTCGAAAAGATTTCGTGTTCCGTCTGCACATATAGTCATAAATTGCATTAGTTTTATCTCTTACGTAGACGGCCTTTCGAATTAGTTTTCGCGATTCTCTTACTTACTCTTGATTTTGAACAGTTTTTAGCCAAAATAGTTTTAACCACTACTTATTCATATATTTTAAAATTTGGTGAGAAAGTGAGGGAGAAAGAGAGAGAATTTCGAATCCAGAAATTTCTTTTTTCTAGTTGCTTAAAAATGTATTATTAATTTCTTGAAATAATTCGTTATTGATGATTATTAATCTTTACTTTCCTAAAATTCCATAAACGACTGGCAGTGAATAAACTGATTACCATAATTTCACTGTGTGTTCGGTCTGATAATGATAATTATTTCGACACATTAGTTCCCGAACTTAATAGAAAAGAACCCCGATAAAGGATTCTACTATCGAAACGGTTTTTTTTTTAAATTAGCTATCGAGGGTAATTGAAATTCCATGACTGCTTGTTTCGGATTCAGAATACGAATGCGAATGTTTTACAGTGGATTTAGGAAAGACGGCGTGATGTAATTTATATATGTTCGACTATTTGGTGAAGATTGTTCCACGAATTCGAGAGTTCCACAAGCTGGCTATTTTTTAAATGAAAATATACATGTCAAATGAATTGTAAATTACAAATTTTAAACACTGCAAATATTTTTATATACATTATATATTTTAAGGAGAATTATGAAGTGCCAAGAGAAATATTTTCTCCCCTTTGCTGTAAGTGAAAACGCTCAAAATTGCCTTGGGAATTAAAAGTTAAGGGATTATATTGCAGAGACAGTATTTCGAAATATTAAAACTGAGATTTCTTCGAATTGGGCCCAATTAAAAGTTGCTGATTGTTCTCTCTTTTCAGATCTGCGGAACCGAGAAAGACAAAAACAAGCTAAACGGTACGGAAAAACGGAAAGCAGATGACGGCGAACCTAATAAGGATCTTAAAAAGGTAGGCGATTTATCGATCGATTCGTGAAAACGTTGACATCATTGTTTATTTTCGAACGAAATGAAAATTTGTAATGGTAATGGTGTTATTTTTAATTGATAGTGATTAAAAAACGTAGCTACACTTATATTCAATTTCCAAATAATAAAAAGTAATAAAACGGGTGGCGGTGCCTCCAATATTTTTTGGCATTGAAATTCATTTTTTATCAAATGCAACTAGGGGATTTAGGCAATTTGTTCGTTATTTAGTATCGGTTTTAAATATTTTGCATAAAATGTAAATAGAAACTAAACAAATTTATGCCGTTAAAGGCATTATATGAAACTTTAAATTTGTAAATTATAATTATCATTTTAAAAATCTTTATTTCCTTTTTTAAAGGTTATTTAATGAATTCCGCTTTGGAATCGGCTTTGCTTATCTACTTCTGTTCATTACCTAACCGAAATATCATACAATTTATATGGTTTTATGGGTTAATTTCCCAAGTACTAGTAAGAACGGCCGTTAAATTTAAAATAAGCTCAAAAAATGTAATTTATTATAAATACTAATGCAAAAATTTAGATATTTTAAAACCTTTCAGGCTCCGATACCAAAATGACTTTTGGTTTAGCGCAAATTCATTAGGGCGGTTTTAACGCCCCAAATTACCTTAGCACGATCTAAAGAACAAATCGCCTTAAGATTCCAAAATTGTCCGTAGTTCGTAGGGGAATGTATAGGCCTTAATTACTGATTTGCGTGTACGCGTACACCTTCTAGTTAATACGGGGATAACCATGTTTTAAAGGCCACGAAACCGTGCCCTTACCTTTCCACATCCAGAATGCTTTACTAAATAAATTTTATACCACTTCCGCAATCCATTTTCGGTTAAATTCGCATTGCAGATTTATTGATTTCGCTTCTAGATTGACAAATAAATGAGTACTATATGTTGGAAGTCTGAAATATGATTATCTAAGGGCGACATAGACCCCATAAATTGATTACATTGTTAAATTTTTGGACATTATTTGATATTTATAAAAAGTTAAAAAATACTTTGTTCCGTGGGGGTTATTTACATTTATTCTACTTAATTGTGGCTTATATTCCCATAATTCCAGTATTTTTTTTATAATGTCTTTGAAAGTGCTAAGTGTTTGTAATAAATAAAAACATAAAAGATAAATAGGCAAAAGGCAAAATATTATAACAAAACATAATGCCCATAAGTTTGCTCAATATATTTACGTCGTCTGACGAACAAACGAACAAAACATCTCATGGAAGGACGGCGCGGGTCTCAATAACCAGAGCGTGCCGATCTCTGGCAAACGTTTTATTGTCTTCATTATGTAATTAAAGCGGCACCAAGGCCAGCCTAGATAGATTGGAATGAATGAAAGGCGGCTCGTTTCAGAATGACACTATTATCGAATACTAACGAACACGACTTCGTACTAAATTAAACAATTTAATCGAAACTGAAATGTTGAAAATTTATTTTTTATTATATATTTTTATTATATATATATATATATATATATATATATATATATATATATATATATATATATATATATATATATATATATATATATATATATATATATATATATATATATATATATATATATATATATATATATATATATATATATATATATATATATATATATATATATATATATATATATATATAT